AATAATAATAAGTAATTAATAATAATAATGACGATAATACCAGTAATAATAGTAGCGATAATAATAAGTAATTAATAACACTAATAATAATAAACAACAACAACAAGAATAATAGAAACAAACATTTTAATTTTGTTTTTTCTCTTTTTCTTCCTCCCTCTCCCTTTTTCTTTGTTTTCAAATCATTGATAATCTTTAGTTGAAAAGTTAAGAGCAAAACATGCGACCAATTCGTCGTGCTTTTCCTCAAGAAATGTCTGAAATAATCAAAAAAGAGGAGCATAAGATATAATTTGAATTTTGTAACTTAAATGTATGAAATTAAGAAACAAAAAAGATTTAAAGAAGAAATTTGGAAAATAAAAATAAGAATTTAAACTTCTAAATTCTGAAAAGGAAATTATTTAAATGGTTAAAAATTAATTGCCTATCATAAAAGTGATGAAAAAAAAACAAAACGAAACAAAATGCTTTATCGTAAAGAGAAAATAAGATAATAAAATCTTAATTTTTCGTTTCTTCAAAAAAAAGGCTGAAAATAATTTGCATATAAAAATATTTCTATGTCAAGAACAAAACTCTCTAAATATAACAGTAATATGTAATATTCTACTATTGAATACTTGAAACCATAATGGGAAAGAAAATCCTTTTTCTAATCCATGATAATGTTTTAATTAATGGATTAATTTCGTGACAAATTTGAGATTACTGTTAATTGCCAATTATTTCCTTTCTAATAATATGCCTTCCTCATCAACTACGATAATTTAGTAAATTTTGAATTAGATTTAAAAAGTGATATTTCCTTCATGTAAATTACTTTATTTTAAAATGTATTGCTAGAAATTAAAAAAATTGTAATATTTTTTTAAATCAAAATTAAATTTAATGTAATAAATGAAACGAAACATACAATTTGTTTTTTAGATAATTGAATTTTTTTGATAATACAATTTGCCATCAAATTCGATGGAACATGGCAAATTTGATTGCTGAATATCGTTCGATGCCCAATTAAGATACATTTCAGTACTGTCATGAATTAGACTACCGTAATGAAGCTCACATACCGCATCAATATTATCGTAATATTGGCTTTCCGTAATCTCTATACCGCATAATTTATATTTGATGCATTCCTAGGAATTATGTAATGAAAAATTTCAAAAAGAAGAAAAAAAGCTTCAACAATATTATAGAAATGTGATAAATAAATTTTATTCGAAATATAATTATCTATAATATTTCACCAAGGATTTTATTGCGACAACTCGGGAGAGTATATTCTAAAATTATAATTTCATGTTCATTTTCCATTTCGAATTTTCATAATAGAAGCGGGTAATAGATAAAAAATTGGCATATTAACTCATATTTACCCTGATTTCTTAAAATCAAACTACTGTTGTTAAATTTTAAATATAATAAATAATAATTAAATTTTAGATCTGATAAATTAACAAAGAGTATTTTTTCGCATTTTTCTTTCTTTCGGAATAAAAGTTTGATCTTTATGCTTTTTTTTTTGTTCTGTTTTTATTTCTGATGACATTATTGTTAAAAAAAAAAAAAAAAAAAGAATTATTAAACATTTCTGAATTAATTATAAAATATTTCAAAGGATCAATAATTACCGATTTTGTTGGAATAATTTTAGTGCATTGGTATATCCAATGTATACAATGAATGTAACGCTATATTATCATAATTGTTAAATTGTACGATAGTATTTAATAATGATGTATTATGTTCCTTAAAGTAGAGAGCATTTTTGAAAATTATTTGTGGTGAAAATTGCAACTGTAATCGAGAATTCAAATGAAATTTTGGGAATTTTTGATACGGGCCATAATTTGGTAGCAATAAAATGGTCCAAAATTTTCCAATATTCATGTGACCAAATTGTTAATTCTAAATGATCACCATTTATCATTTCATAAGCTTGCATAATTTCAAGCTGAAAAATTTGTTAAATTTTTAATATATATTAAATAAAATATTTGTTAAATATTGCAAAAGTTATTCGTGCAATATTTTAAATTGTTAACATTTAGCTTTATTATTTAGAGAATGTGAAAAAAAAATTGCCTTTATTAATGAAAAAATTTGATTATTGAAATTTAATTAATGAAAAAGTTTACAAAAAAAAGAAAAAATGGAAAATATTGCATGAAAAGATCTCTCATTTTTGCTTTGAACACTTTAATCGTTAATAAATTCTCCTTTCTTCTTTTACTTTTTTTTTTTTTTGTAAATTTTGAAAATAATTAAACACCTAAAATGTTACATTGAATGGTTTGTGTGCAAATTTTTCAGCAAACTATTAACTGTATCAATAGTAATCGGAATGTTGAATGATTCATCCATTTCCTGTAATATGAAATTTTAAATCATAAAATGAAACAAGCAGGAAAATATAATTTGAAGTATGATTTTGATTTTGAATTAAAAAGTATGATCTTAAATTAAAAAGAGAGCAAAAAGAAATGGTTAGATTTAATGTTTGATAATCTGAATGCAGTCATTCTTCTTACTACAAGTCAAAATTTTTTACCGGAAACTTATTTATTGCTGTAAATAAGCTTCCGGTAAAAAATTTTGTAAAGTAAGAATTTATTTCATTGCATTTGAACGATTTGAATTCATAGTTTCAAACGATTTACTGAATTAGAAAATATAGTTTTAAATATCTTAAAAAATAATTAAAAAAAAAAATCCATGAATTTTCTATTCATAGTTAATCGTTCATCATCTTATCATAATACTTAATCATTCAGTGAAATATTATCATCAATATTATCATCATATTGTTATCACTGTTTGATATCAGGTATTTCAAAAAAAAAAAAAACAAGCAAATACCAATATAATTAAATGAATTCAAGAATAAACAACGATAAATCAATCAATCAATAAAAAAAAAAGGTTGAGGTACGGTGGAAAAGTAACTTACCATTTCAGCATCATTACCAGAATCATCAAATGTGATAACATATTGAATGATAAGAAATAAAAAAAATACTCCAAGACATCATTTGTTGCTAGCTATCAAAGTTAAAATAGAATTAGTTCATTTGAAACTTTCACTCTTTTCATTTTTCATTTATCTAAAATCTAAAGAATGGGTTAATTGAATGAATGAATGGATGGAGAAAGAAAAGGGTGATGATCGGAGCAAATTTTAACAAATTTCAACAAATTTCAATCATTTGATTCTATCATTTCAGCTTATACTACTGGCATATTTCAGAAAAACTTTTGCTTTCTTAAATTGAAATTTTTTTTCTGAATTTTTGTTTTACTTCACCATTTGTCATTATAGTAAATTAACTTTAAT